CTACAGAGAACCAGTTCTGATCTCTCTCCTGTCCTGAGGTGCCCACCCCAGGCCCAGCCCTTTCCCCAGGGCCTGACTGCCTCAGAAATTGGGGGGAAGGGGACAAAAGAAGGGAGTAGGGCTAGAATGATTCCTGTACTGGGGCCTGGAGGAGGGAGGAGCACTTCCTTACCTGAGGGCCAGGCCTCTCCCCTTGTTTGCTCTGAGATAGCCAGTCTCGCTGGGGCCCGGCACCAGGAGGCTGCCCTGTGGGCACTCGCTACCTTCTCCCAGAGCCAGACACCCAGACGGACCAAGAGCCGGCAGGACGCGGCCATGGCCTGGCTCCAGGGGCCCTTCCTCTGCGGAGCCCTGCTGGGCTGGGTCTGCTTGAGTGGTAAGGAGGGGGCCGGCGGACGGCGGTGGGAGGGGGCGGGGCCAGAGCCCGGGAGAAGACGTCGAAGGCCGCTGGGAGGGTGGAGGACAGAGGAGGCCGCTGGGCCAGCAGACAAGTTGGGCCTCTCGGGAGGGTGTAACCACCACCCGACTTTTGTTTTCCTTTCCCCGACAAGCACACCCTCAGACCGGGCCCAGTCTTGGCCCTTTCAGGTCCTTTCACCCAAAGAGCCGGTGGTGTGCGGGCTCCTCCCTCCTGGAAACCTCAGGCTTCAGGAAGGGAGGGATGGAGCGGAGGGAGTTGCGCCCCAGGGGAAGAAGGGCACCCCGGCCGCGTCACCTGAACGCTTCTCCCGCCGGCCTCTCGGCCACTCCAGCCCCCGGGCTGTCCGTGGAGGTGAAGGTGCCCACCGAGCCCCTGAGCGCGCCGGTGGGCAAGACCGCCGAGCTGACGTGCAGCTACAGCACATCGGTGGGAGACAACTTCGCCCTGGAGTGGAGCTTCGTGCAGCCTGGGAGGCCCGTCTCCTCGTCGCAACCCGTGAGCTGAGGGCACCCGCGTGGAATGGGGGGCCCTCCTGCCTTTGGCGGGCTTGGCCAGGAGAGGGAGGAACAGGGGACCCTCCCAGCGATGAGGGCGAGGGGGTCGGAGAGCGCGCATTTGTGGATCAGTATGCTTGGATGAAAAAGATCTTTCTAGATCTTCTTAGGAACGCAGTCTCCGTGAGGCTATATCACACATACAGCCCTGTGTATCCAACCGCCTCCCCGAGTTCCTCCATGCAACCCCTGTACGTTAGTGCCGCTCCAGTGTCAGTTCATAAACCCACCAAAGCTAAGCTGTTGTGATTAAAAGCAGGATAAAAATGCTGCCCCCTCCGGGAATATTTGCTTCCCCTCCCCCCAGACTGAGAGCATGCTTAGCGGAAAGCAATGACTCTAGTTCATTCAGCACCTGGGAAGGGATGGTATTTGGCGACAGATAGACCTCCCTGGTTCTGGCTGCCATAAGGGAGGGGCTTCTAATACCCGCGTTGAAGGACTACAGAGTTGACGCCAGGTGGCAAAAAGCACATATGTGTCTTCTGCTTCTCTCCAGATCCTGTACTTTACCAATGGCCAGCTGTATCCAACTGGTTCTAAGGCAGAGAGGGCCAGCCTGCTTCAGAACCCCCCCACAGGAGGAGTGGCCACCCTGAAACTGACTGATGTCCACCCCTCGGACACTGGAACCTACCTCTGCCATGTTAACAACCCGCCAGATTTCTACACCAATGGGTTGGGGTTAATCAACCTTACTGTGCTGGGTGAGGCAGGCTGGGGACCCACCAGCCACCCACATAACCTGAAAGATTGCACTGGCCCTGCTAAATCCTCCCCTCTCCTGATTTGCAGCCCAAGGGCACAACTGCACTGGGGACCCCGAAGGAAAATGCCTCCTTCCCCAAATCCTCCAATCCTACCCCTGCCCCACCCTCCACAAAGAACGCCTCCTCCCTCAGTCGCTAGTGAGGGTTCGAGAGAAAGCCCTTCCCACAGATAGGGATCTGAGTCATGCCCCCAACGGCTCCAGCTTTGGGGGAACCTCCCATTTGTAGCTAGGTTTCTGCCCCTCTCTAGGTCGGTAGCAGAGAGGGGGAGTGCCCATTAAAGGAAAAAGGGCCCCTATCACTAAGCACTAACTTTGTGTTCAGAGCACCCATCTCACCCCAAACTAGAGCCTGCTTGGAGATGAGCAAACGGAAGAAGCTATTAAAGGGGCTGGAGATGTTTAGATGGAAGAGAGAAGACAGGAGGTGGTGTATGACAGCTGCATTCAAATATCTGAAGGGCTGTCCTGGGGAGCAGAGTTCTTTTCATTTCTCTTTGTGGGCCCAGAGGGCAGGTATTGGGACCAACTGGGATATTATACTAACACAGATTTTGGTTCAACATGAAGACGAATTTTCTAACAATCAGAATTTCCAATAGTGGAAATCATTTCCCTGGGATGCAGTGGTATGTGAATAGAGGTGGACCGCTACGTGGTAGGAGGTATTGAAGCAGGAGACCTAGCACTTCATGGGGGTGGGGTTGGAAGATGGCTAAGGTACTTCCTGTGATTTTTGCAGTGCCTCCCAATAGCCCCTCGTGCAGTCAGAGCGGTCAAACCTCCGTGGGGGGCTCTGCTGCATTGAGATGCAGCTCTTCCGAGGGAGCCCCCAGGCCAGTGTACAACTGGATCCGCCTTGGATCTTCTCCTACACCACCTCCCGGCAGCATGGTACAAGGTGAGGGCCCACACCACCTTCTTTAAGGAAGAAGGGACTCAGAACCTGGGCAAATCTGACCTCTAAACTCCACACGCCCCCAGTACAAGTTCCAAGCTTTGCAGGTATGAGACACACTGCTATACCTTTCCCCTGCTTCTTTCCTGGCTTCTGTTATCGTTCCCTCCTGTCTTCCTGTACAGTCTGTGGCTGTGTGGTCCCTGGAGCATTACTCAAGCTAGATGTACTTCTGATATCCTGGAAGAGAGTGGAAGGCAGGGGCATTCTGTGCTTCCCACTTGCCTATTTTGGGGGTCGGGATTCCTTTTAGATTTCTTGAGGGTCATGAATGATTTCCAAACTTCCTAGAGAGGAAGCTGAGGCAGAGTAGCATGGACTGGCTTGAATCATTTAGCCAGTTTCTTCAAGGAACCACGTGACTGTCTAAGCGCCTTGGCTTCCCAGCCTCCTCATGCTGGCTCCAGTGCCCTGGCGCTCCTCCCAGCCCCAGCAAGCCCCTTTATCAATCCGGAGAGCCCCCCAGATCACCTCCCGATGTGTGCTCTTCCTTCTAAAGGGAAGGTAAGCTGCTTAGAAGAGCATTTGGGTCAGCTTAGAGCCACCCAGAGGGCACAGTTTCCAGCAATCAAGCCCTTTTCCCCCAACCAAGAACCTGACATCAGCCAGTAGACACCCCACCCCGATTCCACTGAGGTTTCTGAACCCTTCATGTGTGTGCTGTCTCCCCCTTCCCTGAAAAGGCAGCTGTGTAGTGTGGGAAGAGCACAGAAGTTGCAATGGTTTTGACACTTCCTCTCTGGGTCACCTTGGACAATTGCTTTCCTTCTCTGAGCCAGTTTCCCCACTAATAGAATGAGGTTAGTCCCTTCCTGACAGGATTATTATAAGATGAAATGAAATATGCTTTTGTCATAGTATAGCTCACTGTGAGTTGAATGAATGATGGAACACTTCCTCTTTACCCTCTAGATGAGGTGTCCGGCCGGCTCATTCTCACCAATCTCTCCCTGGCTTCCTCGGGCACCTACCGCTGTGTGGCCACCAACCAGATGGGCAGTGCATCCTGTGAGCTGACCCTCTCTGTGACTGGTAGGGGATGCTGGGCAAAGGCTGGGCTGGCAGGCCTGGGTTGGGGGTCTGCATGAAGCTTTCTGAGGCACCAAGGAAGGTCTGCAGCTCTGAGGATCCTGTGTCTCCTAGAGCCTTCCAAAGGCCGAGTGGCCGGCGCTGTGATCGGGGTGCTGCTGGGCGTGCTGTTCCTGTCAGTTGCTGTGTTCTGCCTGATAAGGTTCCAGAAAGACAGGAGGCAGAAGCCCAAGGAGACATACGGGGGTAGTGACCTACGGTGAGCAGGAGGGCTGAGGGCCAGTGCAGAGTGGGAAGAAAGGGCTTGGGTTAAGAGTTGGTAACTTCAGGGATCCCACATGCCGCGGAGCGGCTGGGCCCGTGAGCCATGGGGGCTGAGCCTGCACATCCGGAGCCTGTGCTCCACAACGGGAGAGGCCACGGCAGTGAGAGACCCGCGTGCCGCCAAAAAAAAAAAAAAAAAAAGAGTTGGTGACTTCAGCCCTCAAACTCTGACACCTTTGGGGGGGGCGGTCAGGGCACGGGGTGCTGCTCAGCCCTGGGCTTTTGTGGTAGGAGTGGCAGTACAGCCCGCGTAGTTGAGCGTGTGAGCAAAGCATGCAGGGTGGAGGGCTTGGTTCATGAGCCGCCCTCACCTCCTCACACTTAGAAAAATTTTTACTTTTCACTACTTAAGGCCTTTTATATACATCGACAGGATGTGGAGGCCACGAGTTGTTTGTCCTGAACACTCAGCTGAGTTTAGTTCTTGTGTGGGGGGCAGTAAGGAAAGGAGGGGCAAAAGCCTCCTGTCATCAACTTCAGCTGTCAGTCATGGGGTCCAGAATAGGGATCAGAGCAATATTTCTCCAAGTGTGGTCCTCAGATTACTCGAACGGAAGTCACCAGGAGCTTGTTAAACATTCAGATTCAAGCCACTTCCTATTCCTCCTGAAGCAGAATGTGTGTGTGTGTGTGTGTATGTATGTGTGTGTGTGTGTGTGTGTGTGTGTGTGTGTGTGTGTGTTGGGGTGATGGGGCCTGAAATCTTCATTTCAACCAAAGTTCCACCATGATTCCTATGCAGAGTGAAAATTAGAAGTCCCTGGGTTAGAGGATGATGGTGCTCTTGAGGGATGCTTCCAGCCTTCACTAAGAATTGCCTATGTTTATCAGGGAGGATGCCACCGCACCTGGGATTTCTGAGCAAACTTCTGTGAGGGCCGATTCTAACAATGGGCTCCTGGAGAGGCCCCCGTCTGCCAGCACTGTGGCGACCACCAAGTCTAAGCTCCCTATGCTTGTCTGATTTCTCTCCCGATCCCTGAGGGGGAATATCAAGAATTAAAGCCTTTGGGTACCATATTGTCTCCTTCTTTCTGCCGGTATAGCAGATTCCTCTAGGCGGCCCAGAGAGTGTTACCGGTAAGGGAAGGAGCGGGCTTGAAGTCCCAGAGGGGACGCTGTAGGCGGGAAGTCTGGTTGGTTCCGAAGGTACGTTCTAACCTAGGTTCCTCTTCTCCCTTCCCCCTCTCCACCTCCACTTTTTGGTTCGGTCAAAGGAGAGTGTTCAAAATTTCGAACGGTGGCCTTGTGCACCCAAACTCCCTCCCCACTGGCACCCTCTGAACACTTGGACATTCCTCTTTATTGTTCACATTCCAACCCAGCACGGTCACATGCACACACGGAGATAAAAACCCTCCCCGGCCACAGCCCCAGGAGCCCGTGGGGGCGGGGCCAGCAGGAGCAGGGGCGGGGCCGCGGAAGACTCCTCCTACCGAGCCTCCCCCACACTCGGCCTTTGCAGAAACAAGCAGAGAGCTGGAGAGGCGGCTCTCGGGGTGCGCTGGGGAGAGGGGAGGGCAGATTACAGGCAGGTGTGGGGTTGGGGTGTGAAATGGGGACTTCCGATCACAGCAAGGGGTATCCGACACCATAAAAACCCTCCTCCCCTATCCAAAGTTCTGGGACTAAGCTGGGACGTGAACAGCGCAGAGAGGCACGGCGCCCCCTTTAGCCGCGCAGAGATCGAAAGGACTTTTTTTTTGGAGTGTTTTTGGGCAACGCTTAGGGCGCCCTCCGCAGAGCGCGAAGGGAAGCGCACCGAGGCTGCGGAGGCAGAGCAGCATGCTGGGTGCGGGGAGAGGTGGGCGAGAAGCTAAAGAAGGAAGATTTGGGAGCGCGGAGATTGGGGTTAGGGTCGAAGGAAGGGCGAACGGGGACCATACTAGACTGGAGAACTAACTAAAAGGGCACGGCCTTAGTGAGTCCTCGACGGAGTCTGCCTCGGTGAGGGAGTCTCTGAGGACGCAGAGAGGGCTCCTGAAGCTGGCAGGTTGGTGGGAAGGAGAGGATCACAAACACGGCAGGGAAGTCTCGTCACTGCGAAGGGGACGTGGCATCCATCTCTCTTCGGGAACTGAGGAGAGAGAAGGTCTGAGCACCTGCCCTCTCCCAGTACCTCCTCTCCCCTCTCCTTCCTGAACCAGGAACCAGGGTGGGGAGCACCAGGGAGCCCCGGTCACCCGGAACTGCCCACCCGGAGTCACTGAGCTGAAATGAGCCCGCGGCCGGTACGTGTGAGACGCTGGGTGTTTATGGCCCCCGGCCGGGCTGGTCAGACGCGGGTGACTGGGTATCTGTGTCGGTCCAGGTGCGTCCCGGTCGCAGTCTCAGGCGTCTCCAAGTGTCAGAAAGCCTGCAGGCGCAGGTGCATTTTCCCTGGCTGGGAGGAGGTGAGGGCGGGCGGAGGGAAGGGCTGGGGATTTGGTCCTTTCCTCCCACTCAGGGGTCCCACCCCGCTGCTTAGGAGTCGTATTCATTACCTTCGAAAATGCTCAGTTCTTTGGTCCGGGGCGGGGCAGCAGGCCGGGTGGAGAGAGAGAAACAGGTGAGCGCTCCAACCCGCGGCAACCTCGGCCTCCTCCCACCCCCCGCACGTCTCAGATTTCTAGGTCCCCATCCTTGACTCCTTCCACACCCCTCTCCACCCCCCAGCCGCCCTTAGTCTTCCTTGCTCCTTCGGAGGAAGGGGTCCGGGGTCGGGAAGGAGAGCCTGCGGCCCGCCTCACCTGGCCTAGTCTCCGCTGGGGCCGCCGCCCGCGCCTCCCCGGGCGCCCCCAGCTCCGCCAGGACCCCCGGGGCCCGGGCCCTTCCGGCCGCGCTCTCCGCTCTTTATCTTCTTCCGCGCCATGTGGCCCCGGAAACTCGCCTGGATTTTGGCAGCGGCCGCGTTGGCACCCGGATCGTCCAGCGGGATGTCTAGAATGTCGTCGTCCGGCTTGGAGCAGGCGCTCTCCTGGGGGGCGGGGGGGGGGGGG